CCCCCCCCCCCCCCAGGCAGTTCTGCACACCCAAATCCTTCTGCTGGCAGGTCGCAGGGCGTTGTGCCAGTCCCACTCCTCCCTGCGCTGCCGTCGCTCTGGACACCGCGGCCTGGGATCCCAGAGCAAGGCCAGGAATAACCAGCAGTAAGCGTCAGGCACGGAAAGAAACGGAGGGCTGTCAGTCAGTTGCGCCGTATTTTTGCCAGAGGGCTGTAGGCAGGAGCAGGAATGCGGACAGGATCGATCTGGGGCTTCCAGAAGGGTTTCTGACCTGACCCACCAAACCCACTGGTCTATCCCAGGGCCGGGAACGCGCCGGTAATGACAGGACGGGGCCGTTCCCTCACCCCCAGCTGAGCGTCACCGGGTGAGTCAGGAAGTTCGGGGACAAGGTGTTCAGCAAACACCGTCGCTTTGCTATTTATATATTGCCACAGTATTACTCAGAGCTGCACTGTACGCTAAGGTTTGTAGACTAATAGAGCAATTTGGCACCAAAAACGTATAACCCAAAGGCCTGGTGGGAGAACAGGCAGTCGTGTGTGGGCAAAGCTGAGGAACAAGAAAAGGTTTAACATAAAAGAGTGGAACCAGCTCCCCACAGAAAATGCTGCATGAGAAAAACAAAGGGAGCCGGGAGCCAAGGGGGAAAGCTGAGGAGAAGGGTTGCGAGAGGTGGAGAGACCCTGGTTGGAAGCAAAGACGAGGAGAAACACAGATGCTGGCGGAGCGGCCCAGCCCTGGGAGGGGACAGGGGTGGATATGCTCCATGAAACACACACAAAAAAGGATCCTTCCCAGTGTCTGGAAGGAAAACAGCTCCTATCAGGTGTTGGGGACGGTGTGGATGCAGCAGAAGGGTATTCTGGACAGGGCCACGCCAGAGAGAAGGGGCAGTGCATTTGTCAAGGCAATAACCGATGCCAGGAAAGGGGGTGGGGGGGGTTTGGGGGCTATGGTGAAGGTTACCGTGTTTTTCACCGTGGCAGAGCTTCATCCCGATCCCGGGAACGCAACGGCTTTGCCCGACGCGGGCAAGGATCTCCGCGCAGGCGAGACAGAGCCGCGCGGGCTGAGCCCGCGTTCGCCC